ATCCATAGAAGGAAGAAGCGGTCAAGTTTAGAGCAGAAACTAGTTCGTATTGAAGAAGATTTTTTACATAAACAAGTCAGGAATTTCTACCAAGAAAGAAAACGAGACCGAACCCAGTACAAAACCACATCAAGATATTATAAAAATGAAGAGGGGAATCTGTTAGGTGGAACAGATGAAACATTAAGAAGGTGGGCCAGTTATTTCGAGAACATATTATGTACGGACGACCAAGATGAAACAGAACAAACGCAACTACAACATGAAGAAGTAAGGGACCCAGATGTAAATGAAGAAGTACCTACTAAGGAAGAAATTATAGAGATCATAAAAAACTTAAAAAAACAACAAAGCACCTGGTGAAAATAGTATCATTGCGGAGTTTTTAAAAGAAGGTGGCGAAATGGTGCAAGAAGAAATCTCTGAGTTAATACGCGAAGTGTGGATTAAAGAAAAAATACCTAATCAGTGGAAAGAAGCAATCTTATGTCCAGTGCATAAAAAAGGAGACGTTACAGAATGTAAAAATTACAGGGGAATAGCTCTACAAGATACAGTGTATAAGATTCTGGCCATGTCAATTAGAAATAAAATTAAAACAAAAGTTGAAAATTGGCTAGGTGAATATCAAGCAAGTTTCAGAGCAAACAGATCGGTAACAGACCAAATTTTTACAATAAAACAAATTTTAGCTAGCTCATATGAATTTAACCTAACATTACACATGCTGTTTATTGATTTAAGACAGGCATATGATACAATAAAAAGAAATAAAGTATATGAAGCACTAGAATATTTTGAATTTCCACCAAAAATAGTAAGACTGACTAAATGCATACTCAATGATACTAAAAGTAAAGTCATGTTAGAAGGACGGGTTTCGGATAGCTTTATCACCAATAGAGGTCTGCTACAAGGTGACCCGTTATCAACAGATTTTTTCAATTTGATCTTAGAGAAGATTTTACGAGAATCTAATATCTACACTAGAGGCACAATATATCATCACAGGTATCAATGTGTAGCATATGCAGATGATGTTACCTTAATAACAAGAAGACCTGCAAAATTAAGAGAAATCTTTACTAGAATAGAGAGAATAGCCAGGGAATATGGTTTAGAAATAAACGAAGAAAAAACAAAATATATGGTGATGAGTGGAGATGGATACTTGGGAGTGACACTAACAAATAGGAACGAAGAGAACCAAGAAATCATAAAAAGAATGGCCAAAGGTAGTAAGAGTGCTGGGAGCCTGACTAAGATACTGAGGTCGAAGATAATATCCAGAACAGCAAAAAACGAATATATACAACAGTTATCCGACTTACAGTACTATATGCTAGCAAGACCTGGACACTAAATAAAGATATGGAAGTAAAATTAGATAGACGGGAACAAAAATTTTTTAGAAGGATATACGGAGGTGTAAAAAAGGGGAACATCTGGCGAAGAAGAACGAATGAAGAAATAATGCAAATATATGGGCAACCAAAAATAACAAGACTCGCTAAAATGCAAAGATTAAGATTGCTCGGGCATATAGCACGAATGAAGGAAGGAAGAGTTCCCAATGAATTAATAAACACGGAGGCTGGTACAAAAAGAAAAAAAAGCCGCCCCCGAAGAAAATGGCTGGAGTCGGCAAAAGAAGATCTGAAGTCGCTGCGGGTACAAGATTGGAAAAACTTAGCACAAGATAGAAAGATATATATATATATATATATATATATATATATATATATATATTGTGATAATATTGTCACCTCAATACTACAACCAGGTAACTGAAATATAACACTTCTTAGAAAAACGCATTTTAGGATTTTTTCAAAGTTTGAATTCTTCTCTAGCCTAAAGCTGACCTAATATTAAAGCCGTATTCTGTTTTTAACATTTTTACCTTATTTACTCACTATTCATAAGGTTTCATCTATAATATAAAAATGAATCGCAAAATGTGTTGGTAAGCGCATAACTCAACAACTCATAGACCAATTTTAACAATTCTTTTTTTTAAATGTTCGTTGAAGTCTAAGGATGGTTTTCACGGCATGACAAAATTCGATTAATTTCCGGGAAAACCCTAAAATAGCCCTTTTTTCCCATACAAATATTTTCTAACTAAATGTAGAGTAAATTTAAACTTTATTGCTATTCAACAAAATTTATACTAAATTGCAAGCACTCACTGTTGTCTAAATAATCTATAATATAATAATGAATCGCAAAATATGTTGGTAAGCGCATAACTCAATAACGCATGGACCAATCTTAACAATTTTTTTTTGTTCCTTGAAGTCCAGGGATGGTTTTTACGGCATGAAAAATTCGAATAACTTCCGGGAAAACCCTATAACAGCTCTTTTCTTTTTCCCATACAAATATTTTCTAACTAAATGTAGAGTCATTTAAAACTTTATTGCTATTCAATAAAGTTTATATAAAATTACAAACACTTACTGTTGTCTAAACAATGTAGGTGTGTTCCTAACGTCGAAGATTCAATTTGCGCTTTATTGTCGCTGCACAAAGTTCAAATTCAATCAAATGTATCTGTGTGCGCATTCGTGTGTGTGCGCGTTCGTGTGTGTGCGCGTTCGTGTGTGTGCGTGTTCGCGTTGTAGGATCTAATGCGTTCACACAAAAGTGATAATATCGTGAACCCGACCAAATTGAAAAGTCAAAAAATATAAGAGCTATAGTTTTGATTATAGAATATACCAGGAACCAGATATCGTAAAACACATTAAGATAGGACGTCTGAGGTGAAACGTAAACCGACCCAGCTAGAAAAACGCTCCTTGATAGACCTATTGGTCAAAGAAGAAAAGATAAAGGAGAAGACGTTTTGATACAACGCATCCCAATGATTCCGACTGATATACCATTTGAATTTAAACGACTACAGTTTCCAGTGTGGCTTACTTTTGCTATGACCATAAATAGGTCCCAGGGGCAATCATTAGGTGTTTGTGGTAGTAATCTAGTAAAACCATGTTTCACACATGGTTTGTTTGTTTTAATGTAATTTAATAAAACAAAAGTAAACTATAAAAATACTTTTTCACGTAAAAAATACTGGAATAATAAATCTAACAAATTACTTACTTTGTTCAATGTTCTCCATATCTCCAATATTCTCCATATCAAAAAACCTTTGGTACTTTGAAGAAAGTGTAAACCTTATACATTCACTTGTTCTACTTAACCAATTACGGTTGAATAATATATTTATTCAAGTACAGAGCTACATAAGTACCACCTGAGAAAAATATTCCATTACTTGCACCAACAAGTACCTTCGGATAATATCAAAATTGAACTATTTTATCTCGAATAAAAAGGAAATCAAATCTTTTGAGTTTGATATAAATGGAATAAATTTTTAAATTTATCATTTGGTTTTCGAAAAGTAATTTATAATATTTAACGTAATCGCCACTGGTACAATAACACTAAAGTACTGCCCCGACCTTGATAATTCTTCTTCGCTATTTAGACTTATCCATTTCTAGCAGTTATATATACAGGCATATCTGTAGTTATGCCAGATATTCTGCATAGATCAGTATTCCTATTTTTATGGAAAATATTACGTCTTTTATAACTGATATGATTTTGTACTTGTTATATATTCCTTTACATATAATTTTCAAATATGTTCCCACATATTGCTCTCAGCATATTATTACGCCCAAGTCTTTGCTATACCATTGATCTATGATTCTAACAGCGTTTGATAAAGATATAAATGTTCTGACGTAACGAGGGCTCTAGAACTGCAGACGAAGTTCATAACAACAACACTATAGAAAATGTCACACCGAGAGTGCAGTACGGCTAATATAGGAATGCACAATTGCCGGATTTCACGCCTTGTGCTTGGCGATACAAACAGGTCCAAGTGGTAGTCACAGAACCGTAACCAGATCTCTACGCCGGGATCTGTTATTTATTATAAAATAATATATTGATAAAATAATTGCCTTTAAGTAGCCAAATAAGAGGCATGAATTTGAATAAAAAGACCCTAAGTTTTTAGCGAGAATTTTATTATAAAACTGTATACTTTATTAAACTAACAAATGTATTTTAAATTACATTTCTTGATAGCTATAAATATACCGGGTGGAACCTCCGGTAACTCAATTTCCGTGTACCCAGCCCAATATCCAAGAAAAACTTTTTCTTTTGTAAATATGTGAAAAATTATCAGGAACGGGAATATCGAAAAATCTTTGCACATTTTTTAATCCCGGCGATGTTATTAAAAAAACAAGTTGCGCACTTGAATCACTGCGAAATTTTAACACCTACTATGAAATTTTTGTTTGTGGAAATCTGAAGTGCAGTTTTTGTCCTTGTTAAATCATAATGCAGTCTCGCATTTTTTACACACAACATAAGTTTATCTAGTTCCTTGGCATAGCAACCTGGTAGTTTTCAGCGAAACCTTGTGTTATTCCATATGGGATAATGGTTTTCCTTGCCCACACTTGACCAGATGAGCAGGTATAAGGTTTATAGTGTAAGTTATTTAACATTATATTATATTTATACTTTATTAAACTAACAAATATATTTTAAATTACATTTCTTGATAGCTATAAATATACAGGGTGGAACCTCCGGGAACTCGATTTCCGTGCACCCAGCCCAATATCCGAAAAGCCCATAGTCAAGAAAAGATTATAGTCAAATAAACAGGTTCCACTGTTTTTCTGTTTATCGACACAATATGAATAAATATAAATGGTCACAAAAAAGAATAGAAATAAGGACCAGTTTTGTCCTAGAATAATACCAAAATATACTTTACAGGTAAAATAAGAAAAATCTTCCAAATTCTATCTCTTTCTATCTTAAGGATTTTTTTATTCTTTCCGAAGCTATTTCGGTATTTCGTTATACTTGAATGATTTTTAATTTTTTTACACACCTGTTATACATTTATTTCTTTGTTTAAACAAATGTCACATCTTGCTCTATTGTTACAGAAATTCCTGAAGAAATATGCCTGCAGGTAAAGAAAGTGATAGTGATACGGGAACAGTGAAAAGAACGACTTTCAGGCCACCATGGGTGAAGGAAGGTCCCAATCCATTGCCGACTCCGGCAACACCATGGACTCTCAAATCTTCACCAAGGAAAGAGAGCGTTACAGAGACCACAGAAAAACAGGAGTATAACCCATTGGGTAAGTTGTGTTTAATGGAGAAATAAATTAACGAGTATATGTTGTTGGTACCCTAGTTTTTTTAATATACTATTGATTTATCGTGTTTTTCCCACAATTTTAATTATTGTATTAATGAAATAGTAAGATCGCATTGAAAATGTAGATACGTACAGAAATAAAGAGCAGCAATGTCGAGAATCACAGAATTTTAAGTAATAATTTTAAATTTTATTTTAAGTTTAAGTACTAACAGCAAGAACGAGAAGGGAATTCCCAAGAATATTCAAATCATTTCGAAAATGAATTCATTTCTAGTGCAGCAAAATTAAGACTAGATCAAACGTGATTCAATCTACGCTCTTTTATGATAGCGCAATCTACGTTATTGTCATAAAACAAAAAATTCATTGAGTATCTAAGAGCGTAATGTATTAAGGACAATCATCAGAGAAATTCAAGTGTGAAACGATTAAAGGAAAAGAATAAATGCAAAAATTAAAAATTAGCCAAGCTTAAGTTGGTTGTGTCACTTGGCGAAAATAGCAGACAGAAAATATTTAAAGTATTTCCTGTTAAAAAAACAAAGAGAAGAAGAGAAAAGGACGAATACATATAGGTATTTAGAAGAGTGCAAGGAAGATTTACGAAAAACGGGAGGATGTTTTCAAGCAACGTAAGAAGTGACTTTTTAATCTAAGTTAGTTACATTAGCAAACACATATGTAATATATGTAAAAAACGAATTACGTTACATTAGGCGCACACATATCGAATTTGGATGGTCGATAAAAGTTCGATCGAACAAATTTCTTTGGTGGCGCGAAGAAACAATGAGCATTGATCGCCAAACGACACGGCATCGATGCCGAATAGCTTTCGATCTCTGCCACTGCATGGACGGCGTTGCCGTGACCGTTGCCGTCTTTTCAAAGTGAACGGTACCAATTATTAATGAAAGCGCGAGCACACATATCGATCTTTGTCGACCGACCAGAGGGACCAGTTGCAAGCCTTTCTTGTGATAATATTATGCAGCTTCTCGTCGTCGTGTTTTGGTAGTAAGAACCATAGAGAAATGACAAATAAGATTTCTCTATGGTAAGAACATTCCGCAGCTTTGCGTGAAGTTCCTCAAAACCCAAAGTAAACATTCTAAAGTAATTGAAAAATGTATCCTCGTCTTGACGGAGCAGTTAGTGCTATAGTTCTTTCTTTCTTTTTTTGCTTCTGGTCAATTAATTTTGACATCAAAAGAAACTCGAATGAGTCATTAGAACCTGTTAACTAGTTTCGTAAATAGCCCAGGTAGCGTTAATATAAGCCAAAGGTGTACGCCATCGAAAAAAATAAAGTAATTTGGCAAAAACAAGTGAAGTGCTTGATTTGTCATCAACCCACTTTCATTTTAATTAAATCAGTGGCGTAACAATTCTTGATTAAACGTGTTTTAGCATTGGCAAATATTTATTGGATGAAACAAAAAAGTTCATGAAACTGTAACATGTAAATTAAATTGAAATAAAGAAAATCTGGAAAACATCAGATGTAGACCAAACCAAAGAAATTAAGACACGTATTGAAATAGCACGTACATCATTTATTAAACTTAAAAAGTTTCTTTGTTGTCGGGATATAAGGTTAGAACTACGCCTGAGAATTCTTCTATATTAAGTGTTCTCTACTCTTCTTTATAGTTTGGAAGCTTGGACACTAAAACAAGTTCATCTGAATAAGTTGGCCGCCTTTCAATTTTGATGTTACAGAAGAATCCTACGAATATCATGGATTCAAAGAATGTCAAACATGGAAGTAACTAGAAGGATAGGAAATGAGGTGGAAATAATATTAACTATTAAAAGACGAAAACTTGAGTACTTGGGAGATGTGATGAGAGGGCAAAAATACGCATTATTACAACTTATTATGCAGGGCAAAATCCGAGGAAAGCGAAATGTGGGAAGACGAAGAATATACTGGCTTAAGAACTTAAGGAAATGGTTTGAATGCAGTAGTGCAGAACTTTTTAGAGCGGCAGTCAACAGAGTCCGCATAGCCATGATGATTTCCAGCCTTCGATAGAAGATGGAACTTAAAGAAGAAGAAAGAAAATCTACAGATATATACGCACTCACACACACACACATACACACATACACATAAACACACACATTCACACATACATACACGCACACATTTAATTTCGTACTTCAAAATTCTAATGCCCATAATCAAGAACATTGGAACATAGCAACTTCCAAGCTCGATGAGATCCAACACAATATTGAATGGGCCAAATTGCATTTTTTTTTACAAGAAAAGATAAAATAATTCCAGCGTTAATGATTAAACGTTCTGGGATAACCCATAACAACATTTAATAGCAAGAGTGAATCCTTCGAGGTGTTTGTTATAACTATAATGTGTTACTTTCTGTGAAGCATATTCTTGTTGATTGTGGAGTGTATTAAAAAATCTTATAGGAAGTCTCACGGATATTGTGAATTCGGTTAACGAGCACTTAAATGTATTAAACTTCCTGAAAGGTTGTCGATTGTATTACAAAATTTAATGTAATTTATATTATTGTTTATGATATAGGTCAGTAAATGAAGCATTTTGGCTTGCCATTTTTTTCGTCAGCATGGATTTATTTTAAATTTTCACAGAAGGTAGGAAATAGTCTAAGGATTATTTCCTATATCATGCCGCTATATGCTAACACCTTGGGGGTGGTTGCCAACCCATCTCGGGGGGTGGGAATTTTTCATTACATTTTAACCATGGAAATCGATGAAAAGAGTAATTCTAAGGAAAGATGTGATTTACATTTTCTTCGTAAAATTATTATTTTTCGAATTATTTGCGGTTGACTAAACTAACCTAACCTAACCTACAAACAAACCAACATTTGTTGGTTAGTTAGGAGAAAAAATCTTAACATAAGAAGATGTCAATGAAAAGTGGAGCATTATTAAGAAGGCATTACTAAAGGCCGCAGAAGAAAATTTAAAGCCTGAAAAGACAAATAAAAAACAAAAGTGAATAACTTCAGAAATTCTAGCATTAATGGAAGAGAGGAGAAAAGCCAAAGGGAGAAATAAACCAAAATATTAAGAACTACAAAGTAGAATTAAAGCAGAGTTAAAAAAGGCCAAGGAAAAGTGGTTAACAGATCAATGCATAGAAATAGAAGAGTATGATAGAAAATACGACAGCTTTAATATGCATACAAAAATAAAAAAACTAACAAATACCAAAAAGCGAGCACATTATGGGATACTTAAAGATGATATTGGTAAACTCATTGCAGACATCAAAGATAAACAAAGATTTTGGCAAGAATACATAATGAAACTATTCGACGATAATAGTGCGAATTAGAACAGACAATTAGAAATGCAAACACCGCAAAATCAGTAGGCCCAGATCAAATACCTACTGAGCTAATTAAATGCATTGACGAAGAAACACTGCATATACTTTTAGATCTGTTTAAGAAGTATATACAATAGGAGTAATACCCGAAGATTGGTTATTGTCCACGTTTGTAACACTACCAAAGTCAGTGCTTGCGACAGAATGCTCCCAGTACAGAACCATTTCCTTAATAAGCCACCCACTTAAGATATTTCTCAAAATAATACATGGAAGACTGTTCAAAAAAATAGAAGAAGATATAGGTGACACCCAGTGTGGATTCAGAGGAGGACTAGGAACGAAAGAGGCTTTGTTCGCTTTTGACATTCTCGCACAAGGACGACTAGATATAAACCAGCATTTCTATGTCTGCTATATAGATTATCAAAAGGCTTTTGATAGAGTAAGACATCAGCAACTCGTAAAACTGTTGAAAGAAAAGAATGTGGATAGCAGAGATATACGGGCTATTGTCAAACTGTACTAGAATCAAAAAGCAAAGCTTAGAATCGAAAATGTCGATACAGAAACTATATAAATTAAAAGAGGTGATAGACAGGGTTGTATGCTGTCCCATTGTTATTCAATTTGTACAGCGAAGCTATTTTTAAGGAAGAAATATCAGAGGAACACCAGGATATATCAATAAACGAAAAAATCTTGAATAACATAAGATTCGCAGACGACACGACTGTTTTTGCAGATAGTCTAGAATCACTGCAATACTTGGTACATAGATTACATCAAGTCAGTATAAAATATGGACTACAAATGAACATTAAGAAAACCAAGTGCATGATTATTTCTAAGCAACATACAGTAGGAAGGCTAGATATCGAGGGACAACAAGCAGAAAGAGTGATTAACTACAAATATCTGGGAACCTGGATAAATGAAAACAATGACCAAGGTAGAGAAATAAGGACACGCATTGAAATTGCAAGACATATAAAAATGAAAACAATGTTTGTTAATCCAGACCTTCCTCTGGAGCTGAGGATAAGAGCCTCGTGTAAGTGTTCTCGACCTTGTTGTATGGAATGAAAAGCTGGACACTAAAAGTGGATAATATAAAGAAGTTGGAATCATTTGAGATGTGGTGCTGTAGAAGGATTTTGAAAATGTCATGGACCCAACGAGTTACAAATGCATAAGTGTTAAGAAGGCTACAAAAATATTGCGAGGTTAAAAGCACATCAAAACAAGAAAGCTAGAATATTTAGGCCACATTACTAGAGGTACAAAATGTGAGATATTAATGCTCATAATACAAGGTAAAATCAAGGTTAAAAGATCCATAGAAAGACGAAGAATTATTACTTATAATAACATTATATTATTAAGGGTGGTTTTTAAGGGTTGAAATATTATATTATATCCTAAAGCATAAAACAATAATTATTTAACTAATACAAACCAAATGTTGACCATATTAAAGTTTAAAATGTTATTTTATAATGTTTTACAATCAGTGGTAGTTTTTGACATTAAAAACCAAAAGCGTACAACGGCTCAATATAAAAAATGAACTAGGGGGTGAAATGAGCCTAATCCCAAATTTTTGTACAAATCGATGCTGGACGAAAAAATTTCGAGGTTTTGCCATTTTTTTAAGCTTCATTTTCTGGCCTAATAATCGGGTTGCAAATTGTTATTTTGTTACACTTATTATAAACATATCAATGATCCTAATTATTGAGACATGTTAATATAAACAAAAAAACAAGGGTATCAATAATGAAAACAATACAGTTTTGAAAATTATATGTAAAACAGATATATTGCTTGCTTTTAGAAAAAATATATAGATAATTAATATTCTAGTAAATCCATCGCTTTTTCATTAAATCATACAACTACATTAAACAAATCAACACTTTCATACATTTTTTAGCCGAAGTTCAATTGAAACCTACCAAAGTGAACAAAAAACCGCCACCACCAGAAGAAAACGGCGAGGAAGGGGTGGTTAGAAAGCATAAATTACTAGGTAAGGTATAACCATGGAGAGGTTTACAGTAACACTCAGTTTTTCAACAGTTTTAGAATTTTTGATATTTTTGTCAATTTCATTGTCAATAAAATCAAAAGCAACAAAAGATTTAAGTGGATACCTTTTAAACGAAAAGAATAGGGTGTCAAAATGGCAATTGGGAAAAATTGTCAATAATCTACACACCAGCATTATATACTTAAATCTTTAGTATTGTTCTAAAGCTATGTTCTTGTGGCATTTTAATGCAATTTACGTTAAAATAAGTTTATTTTTGACGTTTTCAAAATAAAAAACATTCAACTTAAATTGTGGCTTATTCCCAATAAAAATAGTAATTGCATTAAATCTTTATGTTGTAAGATTAACATTGCAAGAATCGGTGGACTAGTCTTTATAGACTATTTTTGATATTGCGCCGTCTGCGTAACATGCTGCATTTTTATATAAAAACTTCTTCATTTGTGGTTCTAACGTCATTTGTTGTATCTCTTTATAAATACCCACTTATATCCTTTTCTATGTGTTTGAGGTATATTAGTTTCTTCATCTCCATTCTTTAAATTCTTCTGAAGCCTCATATTTTCTTTAGTAGACCATAAAAATAAATTATAGAAAATAAAAATCATGCTTCATACCTTTTGAAAAACGTTTGCAATGACCGTTTTTATGTTTCTCACAAGAGCATGTGTTTCGTTCCATTGTCTTGCAATTCCCTTACGCTTCGGGTAACCTTTTTTTTTTATTTATATTTTTCTTCACATCTGTGTAAAACCATAGAGTGTTTTGTTTTAGGAGCAATTTAATATTTATCTTTCTTTCGTCAAAAGTCTAAGATATTTTAGATTTAAAATTAGTTTTCTTGTTACCCCTCCCTTTACACGTCCGGCTTGTTAGGGAGCTAATTATTGGATCATAATTTGATTGAACCTATAATCATAGATAGATAATATAATATTAGAAACCTATAATTTATTATCTGTAAAAGGAACATACTTGCATCAGTTTTTGATGTTTGCTTTGCATTAGAACGATTATAGTGATCGACCAGCCAACAGGCTATTTTAGAGTTATCCATATTTGTTATCCGTTGACTTTTCCATATTTTTCAGGACTTGAGATGGCGTTCCTTCGGTGCTAGTTACGAAAAGAGTTTGTCATCATAATGTACCTTGTAATACGCCTTAATATAATTTATCGAATATTATTAAACTCTACTAATTATGAATCATTACAGATATAGGTACCTTTCTCCATTTTTGATTAAATTTTTGATTTAATTACAAACCAAAATTGATTTTAATAAAAATTCCATTTGACATTATATTCCATTTTAAATCCGGAAATCGTTTTTAAAATTGATTATTATAACAAGTAGTTATTTTAACCTCTAGATATTTATTAAATACCGATTTGTCTCAGCCAATTTAACAGGTGACTTAATTGATCTCGATCTTGTAGGCAAATAGAATGTGGCATGTTTTAGAAATGTGAGATCGGTATGCGCATCGGTACTTGGAACTTGAAGTTTCTAGACAAAAGAGAGCAGAAAATTATAAAAGAGCATGAAAAAAAAATATAGACATATGTAAACTACAAAACACGAAGAAAAAAGAAAAGCATTGAATTATCCTGAATAACTTTCTGATGATTTACAAGGGTATTACGAAAAAAACCAGCGCCTGGTGTTGGTACACAGAACATTTGTACACTAAGTACAAGAATCTAAATATATCTCTGAAAGACTAGTAAGTGTAAACGTCAAATTGGTTGTCAAACCTCTGAATGTGATATCAATCTATGCACCTGAGAACATCTGAAATACTATCTGTACGAGACGCACAACTAAAGCCTCGATGGTTAGCGGACTGTATACTTAATTAAATGAAATGAGACTACACGAAACTTATTGTAGTTACACCTTTATTTAGTTTAGATTATTCACCATTCACTTATGATAATTAGATGGCTATAAGCCAGAGCTAATATAATATTTACTATTTCAATAATAATAATAATGATAATAATTAGATGGCAACAAGCCAGAGCTAATGTATGTTTTTACCTTGTATAAAACAACAACTAAAAATGGTGTTATGCGTAATAATGCACTGGTGCAGAATATCACTTGTCACTTGCTGGGGGTGGCAGGGAAAAACACTGTCACTTCCGACCGAACACACCCGAACCTACAAAGCGTCCCAACAATTTTGCATAGGTGTTGGATATTGTTTCCAACACTATCACAAAAGAAAACTTCTATGAACGCCTTCAGACTGTAATAAACGAGAACCCAAATGACAAATATATAATCATTATGTACATTCTAATGCCCGTGTTGACGTTGATATAGTTCCAAGAATAAAAGAGCGATATTATGAAAATATCATATATATCATAATATATCATAATAAAAATGATGAAGGAAATACGTATTAATAACACATTTTCCCCATAAAGAACAATTCAAAAACACTTTTAAAAACACTAGGGGACAAAGATCTATGATAGACTTAGTAATTTAGATGCAGCTAAAATATTTAAATAAAAGTAGATCGTTCCGAAGGCGAAGAATTTCATGGGTTTGTACAGAAATGAAGGAAAAATGCAAAGAAAAGAAAACAGTTTATTTGAAATACATTTCAACCAAGACATAAGAGGCATACGATAAATACAAGATAATAAGAAACGAAATACATCCACTAGTAAGAGGAATAAAAAATAATCATTGAGAACGTTTTTTGAAGGAAATGGGATATGATATTTATGGTCTGCAAAAGGAAGTAAGACATCAAAGAATATAACATAAAAAAGGTTACATGGATTGACTGTCGCCAAAATACACAATCTCGACAAAGATTGTTACTTTGGCCGGCCAATCATAGCGTTCGTTATTAACTTCGCTGTCATTGGCCTCTCGGCGGAGGAGCGCTGCAAATTCTCAATTACTAAACGTATAAAAGAGCAGCGCACCTTCCGATCGGGACTTCAGAACATTTCTCATAGGCTGGGTTCAATCAAATTGCTTGTTTGCTTGATCGGGACTTCAGTCGTCAGACACTGCGAGCACTACTAGACCTTGTTGGTTAGTGGTGCTTCCTAGTAAAACTGTTGTTTCATTATTAATCCAAATAACCAAGATCGCCCTTACGTCGAATTTTAACGATTACACCGACTTCAAAGATCAGCGATTATTTCCAACCCAGATGTCGAAGATATCCTAAGGCATCATTCGTCGTCTGCTATTATACTACAGTGCACGAAAAGCCGAGTATCACCTGTAGAATCGCTCCCTGTCAGAAACATACGCTTTTTGAAATAGAAAAACAATAGTTTTAGAACTATTACAAATTGCGTCGAACTGACACCGACGATTTATCGGACAACGACGGTGAATACGAGGAGAAGTCTCGACGGAGACTTAAATTCGATTTCACCGCTCCGAGTCAAGCCACGACGACGCTTCGACACTTTGAACCTTATGCATTTTTCAGTAATTAGTAAACACTGGTAAAACTGATAGTGCGAAAGGTAGTGTACAAAGCGACGGGCCATTGCAGAGCCGATACAACGGGCATTTTTGTGCCTCTTTCTAGGAGATAGACGCGGCGATTCCTGATAGGAAGGAAACCGACATCTCTGCAATTTTGAGGCATATACCACGCAACACATATTGTCGTTGTAAGAAATATATTTGTCATTGTAAGAAAGCTTGAACTGTTAGAGAGTTCTGTTTGCCGGTGTCACCTCGCTTATTGAAGAGGCTCGATAGAGCTTCTTACACGAATAAGCCGATATCTGTACCAACTCCTATACGAAGATGGATCATCGCTATACGAGATCATCTTCAAGAGCGGCGGCCGCTGAGCATCCAGAAACTCCAGATAACAGAGAGGATGCTACGGCCGCGCGACATGACTTTCTTAAAAAGCTCTATGCAGAAGACGAACAAATTATTGTGGAACCGTAAACACCCGAAATTACTACAAATGAAGAAATTATTATAAATACACATTGGGTTCGAAAAACACTTGAAAAACTGAAAAACAGGAAAGCTGCAGGTAAAGATGGAATACCAAACGAATTACTGTAGTGTTAGGGAGAAGCAATGACAGAACAATTAACATTAATTAACAAAATTATAAAACTTCGTGATGAGATCATAAAAAGCATCAAGCAGAGAAAACTGGAGTATTTCGGACATGTAATGAGAGGCCCCAAATATACGTTGCTACAAAATATCATGCAAGGAAAAATAGCAGGCAAACGCAGTCCAGGACGAAGAAGAATATAATGGTTGAAGAACTTGCGGTATGGTGTTGATACAGGAATGCTATTTAGGGTGGCAGTGAATAAAATTAAGATAGCTATGATGGAAGCAAACGTTCTGAAAGGACATGGTATATGAAGAAGCAGAAGAAGAAGAATAAAGAACTAGCGAACTATTTCTTCTATTTAAAAAAGTAGATAAAAAATAGCCAGAAAACTACAGGTATAAACTTCTTAAATACTACTCTAAAACTTCAACTAAAATTTTACAAGAACTAGTAAATCAGGGAATAACTTTAGCAGATTAACAACAGAGTTTTCGTAATGAAAGATCGTGTACAGATACAATATTCGTCATAAAGCAAGTTATTGAGAAATAACTAGAGTATAAGATAGATAGGTAGAGATAACAGACCAATATTTCTTTGTCTCATGGAATTAACGAAATCATTTAACAGAGTAAGACTCAAAGACGTAATTTATCTTCTGTATAATAATTTATCATAAAAACTATCGAAAACTTCTACCAAAACAACAAAATGGAAGTCATAATAAATGGACAACTTATAGAACCTATAGACACAGGCAGCGGAATAATTAAGCCCTATGCTCTTCAATTTAATCATGGATGAAATCATCAAAAGTGTTAACAAAGAAAGAGGAATGTTTCATAATCACAGATTGTGAAACAAAGAAGTAATAATACTCTGTTAGCCCAAGATGAAGAT